ATAAGTTTTCAAAAATAAAAGACAGCTTAAATTGCCAAGTTTCATTAACTTATTGTACCTATAAGCAAAACTTAAACGTTAAACATACCTCTCATCTAACAACCGAATTACTTCGTGGATTGCCAAATTACTTTGCAAGGTTATAAAATGAAACCTCTACTTTTAAATTCTTTTAGTCTTAACTCTTACTAACTCGTCATCGTGCTTACTAATCCATTTTTGTGCTTGCAAAACGTTACGCAATATGTCTTTCATATCGTGTAACATTCCGGTCGATCATCCAATCAGAATGAAAGCCCGCTATGCTAGTTGGCGACTAATCAACTTGGAAAAGCATATAATCGACAAATCAACCGACTGTGAATTAATTTAAGAACATTGTCCAGAGCGAACTGAAATGAAGCGGTATGAGAATGAGCACGAGCAGCAATGAACAGAAATCGAGTAGAAAATAAAAGCAATGAGAGTAATAAGCGCATATATACAACATTATTCCGTGCAAAAATTTAGAAGATTGACAACCAATAGATAATTTTTTATTCCCGCCAATATAATTTGTTTATTTGTACATTTATAATGCATGATTGATTATCTTTATTAAGTAAAATGCTTTGCATTGGACGCCCTATCAGCTATCACTATATGAAATATTGAGACAATCTCTAATGAAAATATTTGTTTAAAGGCAACTCTTCAATGTTCAATCATTTCGATTAGTTGAATTAAATGATTTTTTCGGTTTTTTTTTTTCCTAGCCAACGAGATCATTCGACAAACCACAGTGCGACGTTTGAGTACAGCCTAAATTTGCCAGAAACATGTAACTTCAGGTAATAAAATTTTTTTAAAGTCTCATCGACATTTATTATAACAATTTATTACCTGCTATTTTCAATATAAATACAAGAAAGCCAACTTGTAATGATTAAAAGTTTATGCGTGAATTATTATTTATCGTAAGAAATCAATCTGCCGTTTTTGAAAAAAAAAAAACGACCAGCTAAGCCAAAATTAGGCCTTAGCCGATCTTCCCGGGGTAAGGGCTGTCTCAATAGCATCGCGTAAAGGTTTAAGCATCTAATGAATTATATATGTATAAATATCTTAATCTCTAATATCGAAAATAAGATCATTATGATTGTGTGACAACATACTTGTTCTGCCAGTGTTATGGCTTTTGACCATTCTAATTCATTAACTCGTATATCTGTACTTTGAGACGATTGTGAGGAATCTAGTGCCTCATCATCTTGACTCAATTTTTTGATTTTATTGATTCGTAGTATGTTAGGGTTATTTCTTTAATAAAATTTTGGCTCGTCAGAATTTTATCTGTGATAAGATTATAG